CCCCCCTGTAGGCTGGCCCTATCACAGCCCTGCCCTTTCTTAGCCTTGCCCCCCCCTCCCCCCCCTGCAGGCCAGCCTCTCAACTTTTCATTTCGTCACGCTCAGCCTTGTACCACACTGACGGTGCCCCGTTCTCTCCCCCCTACCCCCCTCGCGTAGGGACATCCAACTGGTCGGAGAATTACTTCACCCACACGGCGGGCGTGGGGCTGGTGGTGAACCAGACGGGGGCTCCAGCCGGGGCAGGCAAGCGCAGCGTCCAGAGTGACCTGCAGGCCGTGTTCGAGAGGGACTGGGACTCCGGCTTCGCTCAGCCCCTCTCCTCGGAGCACGCCCACCACTGCGGAGCACGGGAAAGCGCATAGCCCCGCCCAGCTGGGGGGCAGGGGGGGCACCGTCGCTCGTCTGCTTGCAGCAGCTTCCTGCGCTGCCAAAGCCACACAGCCAAAGCCTGAAGTTGAAACGGAGGAGAGACGCTGGAGTCCTTGTCAGCGAGAGTGGACACCAGGGGGCGCGCTTGATAGCCGTGTGTGTGGAGCTTCTGTCAGAGGGAGTCTGGGACACACACTCTTTGGGCCACGAGGTCCTAAGGATGGATAGTCAGTGTGTGTTTCCCAGGCTCCCTCTGACTGGACCAGTCCTCCCTCGCAGACGAGGCCCTGGACTGGCTCAGGTCGGGTCGGGTCGGGTCGGGTCGGGCTGCGCTGTTCTCTCTCCACCTTGAGGGAGGTGGACATGGGGGAGGGTTTCAGTAATAAAAGAAATTGCCTGGGTGGGGGGGTTGATTTTGAACTAATCTGTTCTGAAATGCTGAGCGAGCTGCAGCTGTAGATGTTCGTACCGCAGCGTGTTTGAAGTGAGAGCTTTGTTCGATGTTGATTTTTATTTTTTTAGGAATGGGTTTAGGATTATTTTACGGTGTGAATGCTTCTGCCTGGGTAGTGGATCAAAGCCATAATGAAGCCTCTACAAGAATATAGCAGCGTCCTCGCTGATCTTATTTTGCCTTGCATCCTTCTTAAATTATTTTTATATTTTCTGTTGCCAAATGATGTGTATATGATGGTTCTTGTATGCACACACCTATCAAAGCCATGTAAAGCCTTTTTTAAATAAAGTTGTCTTCAGTACTCGGAAAGACGGTGTGGCTGTGGAGAGTGAACAGGAACGGTGGAGGCTGGGGTCGCCCTGGGGTCGCCCTGGGGTCGGTGACGGAACCCACCCTCTCACTGCCTGACCTGAGAGCCAGGCCTGTGGACAGAGGGCTCAGGTCAGCCTCAGACGCCTACAGCTCTACCCATCTGACGCGTTAATTGTACTTGCTCACATGAGCCTTGATAATGCTCTACGTTTTACGGCTTTAGTCATTTGGGGGTAAAACATAAACTGAAGAAATAAGGCATAACATATTTCCCTAGATGGGCCCTCTATGTAGGCTAACGCTCCAGGACTCCAGTGTTAGCACCGCCCCCTCGGATGACGTAGAAATGCTGAGACGGAAACGGAAAGGAGGAGTGAGCGTCGGCGCTCCATTCGTGTTGTAGCGTTGTTGCTTTATTTATATTCGTATTTGTGTAATTAAATTGGGTTTAAAGGGGTTCTCCTTGTGGAAGTGGGACACGATGTTTTATCACGTAAGTAGCTGAATCGTTAATTTCCGCGGTCACGTAGCCTGGCGGCTCTGACTGGGGGAGAACGCTGGGCTCAGAAACGCAAGAATATTCATATTTCATTTTTGAAGTGCAAAGTTCGTCTTTGCCGGAATATTTTATAGCAGCACTGACAGAAATAAACATATTTAAGTGTGCGCAAGTGAACGCGTCTCCGTTCTTGCCTGTCGACAAACGTTTCAATGTGAAAGGTTTTATTTTTAGAAATAGAAATGGGAAGGCTTCATTTCACCGAACCTGCTTATGAGTTTCTCTCTCCTCCTGATCCGCTGTGTGTCTCCCAGCTGGGGGTGAGTTGGGTCTCTCCTGTCTGGGGAGACTCCTGGGGAAAGTGCGGTGTAAATACAAGGAATTGTGATTACTTTCTCAGTGAAGGAACTTGCTAAGCGCTGCTCACATGGTGCAGCTGGCGCACCTCGCACCAGAGGTTTAGAGGATTAATCACTGCCTCCTCCAGCACCTGCTGAGGTGATGTCGCGTCCTTGTTTGACCGTCTTGTGGAAGAGCCGTGCAACAATTTTTT